CACGTCGCACACATTCTCTCCCACCTTGATGCTGGCGTCAGACACGTGTCCGTGGACGTTCCATCGTGGTCGGGAGGGGGCCACGTCGCACACATTCTCTCCCACCTTGATGCCGGCGTCAGACACGTGTCCGTGGACGTTCCACTGTGGTCGCGAGGGAGCCATCCCAGAAGCATAACCCCCTGCGGGAATGCTGCCCCCTGGCACATGCCCAAGGAGCTGCCCCATGGCCTGGCTACTCCCTTCCTGGGAGGATCTGAGTCTAGGGGGGTGTGAGTGAGGCACAGCCATTGGCCCATCTGGGACACATGTGTTCTCCAGCTGCAGGAGACTGTCTCTCCACAACTGCTGCCCCTCATTACTCGAGCCACTTCCTACAGTCTGGAGAGACGCTGGGGAAGCCAAGGTGACCACAGCCGGCCTCAGGATAGTTCTGAAATCATACTCCTGTGGCCCAGAGGGCTCTGTGCCCGCCACTTCAGACACAGCAGAGGGAGGCAGGTCTGAGCCGATGGTCTGCAGCGCCTCCTCCAGGATGGGGGCCACACCAGCGTGCTCAGCCTCTCCAGCCTCCCGGGCTGTGGGCAGGAAGTCTTGGATACCGAGGCCCTCGGAAAATGGCCCCGGCCTGTCCACCCGCTCTGGCTGCGGGCCACAGACCGCCGCCACCAGAGGCCGGGGGAGCCGCGGTGTCTGGGCACTCGGGCAATCATAAGCAGCCACGTGCCGCCCTGCATACCCAGAGTCACAGGTGCTGCCTCCGGCTAAGTGCTCGGGGCCTGGAGACGAAGCCTGAAACAGAAGTGGGTGTTGGTCCCTCCAGTCATCCGGCTCCGTCCCCCGAGCTCAGTTCTGCAAGCAGCACCAGAGCTCACCAGGTGGGGAAGTGTCGGGACGAGCCAGGCCCAGCACCCACTGTGCCCCCAGGGCAGCGCACACCGGGGCATCCAGCTCACGGAGCCCCCTGCTGCACCCCCGACGCCTGCCCCCAGCCCCTCACCTGGGAGTGTGCACCAGGGAGGACGGCTGGGGCCTCCAAGGACTTCTCGCACACGTCCTTCAGCATCTCCTGAAATTCAACCACCAGGGTGGGCATCCAGCCCACTCAAGCCAACCCCGAGCCTCAGCGCCCTCACCCACCGCCCACCACCCCCGTGGCGCGGAGACGAGAAGAGGCTCGTGCCGCACTCTCTCGCAGCCCGGGCCTACAGGGAGCCACGGCCCCGTCTGTGTCGTCTGAGGGCAGGACGCTCACGTTCCAGTCTTGGCGCCTCTGAGCAACGGATGCAAGTTACCGCCCCTCCCCCAGAACACAGGCCTGTGTGCCACCTCAGGGGCTCCGAGTCCCCCAAAGCCCAGGGGAGGGGCTCCATCGGAAACCACAGGGATACCCGAGTGCGCTTCTCATCTTCTACGAGGAAACGCAGCCGCGCGCCTGACAGTCTGTGCCTCTGGATCTTCCACAGCGCCTTCTGCTCTCGACGAGCCGCTTCTGCAGACAACTTGCTGTAATGGTCCACCAGCGCCTGCCTGAAGCCACGCCCAGAGATGTTGCCACAGTCACCCGGTGCTGTCCAGCTGGTGCCCGGGAGGCTAGGATGGCTCACGGCAGAGGCCCTCGGCGGGCAGTCTGCACTGCTGGCAACCTCCCGGGCCAGCAGCTGCTCCCTCCGGCACCCCCACGGCCCCCGTGGGGGCCTCGCCGGGCAGGTCTTTCTGCCCAGAAGACTGGGAGCCCGGGTGGGCAGGCCCCCGCCAGGGCTCAGCAGATGACTGCCGAACAAATGCCAGAATGAGCCCTATGCAGCCGCAGCCGGAAGCAAAAGGCCGGCAGGGGGCCCGGGGGGTGGAAATGAGCCCTATGAGGCCCGAAGCGAAAGGACAGGCAGGGGGCCTAGGCTGCCAGGCCTCTCTTCCTGAGCTGCACAAAAGGTGCCTTCCCAATCTGCCGGTGCCAAATGCAGAGAACTCGGGACAAATCGAGAGGTAAACAGCAGCAAAGCCCAAAGCTACCACGTCGCTCCTGGTGATCTGGGCCCTCTCACCACAAGCACCCGGGTTCAGACCTGGGCTGGCTCATTCCCACCTGGCGGCCCCAGACCAGGGGCACAGCCTTTCTGCTACAAACAGGAGAACAATATCCAGCCACCCACCCACCCACACACACCAGGGTCCAGGCGCACACGCAGACGCATGCTCCATCACCAGTATCCCAGGTCAGGACCCGAGACAGACGACAAGCAGCAAGTGACAGTGCCCCACAGAGGTGCCGCTGGGAGACACCAGGGACACAGGGGAGGGCAGGACAAGTTAATGGCACCAAAGCAAGATAAGCAGTCAGTTCAGGGGGACATTCTGCGTCTAGACTCCTACTCTCCCTACCTGGGAGATCTTCAAAGGAAAGAGAAGACCGTCACAAGACCACCCCAGGAGGATCAGCCCGTGGCGGCCACCTACCTCGCCTTCCTCTCCAGCTGCTCCTCCAGGGCCCTCAGCCTCCTCTCCCTGTCACGGAGCTCTCGGGCATAGCCGAAGTCGCCGTCCGGGTCCTCCTGCCTGGCTGCCCGGCGCCTCTGCACACAGGACCCACACGCGGTCTTGCTGGTCACAGCCAGACTCCGTGGGCCCACACCCACACCGGGCCCCCCGGCCTACCTCCTGGTCCCTCACAAACTGCTCCTTCAGCCGCTGGAACTGCTCTCGCTTCCGGGCATCCAAGGCCATGCGTTCAGACGTCTGCCGGTCTAGTGGAGATGGGAGAGGCGGTGTTACCTGCAGCGGGGAGGCGGGGGGGATGACAGAACCGCAGGGGGAGGCCCCGAACCCCACGCACCACTGAGCGCTCGCAGGACCCTGGATGCTGCCTCCCGGGCCTGGACAATCAATTCTTGTTTGGCGATTTCCATTCGTAATTCCTGAAAAGAGCCATCTGTAAACACCACATCCTAACTCCCTACCTCCTCCCTCCAGGCCAGCTTGGGGGTGGGGGCTGCGCACACCCAGGCCGGCCCTTCCAGCTATGAAGGCGCCCCACCCTGCACAGCAACAAGGCGAGGTAGTCTACGCACCCTCAGAGCAACCCAGGGCCGAGACCCAGGGCCAAGACCCCAGGCCTGTGTGCGCCCACCCCGGAGGGCTCCCCGACAGGGAAGGAGGGCCAGCCCC